TAAATTTTATTCTCAATCAAGAGCATGATTTTTGGTTGGATTATGACAAGTTAGCATCAGCAGCTGATAATTATACAGTGCCATATGTAAGAGATAACGTTAAACCATCTCAATGTGGGACGGAACTAAGTACTAACGATACAACTGTACCTCCCCAATCTAGTTTCAGAAAAAAATTTAAACCACATGTTATGAATAGAACCAGAAAGTATTGACTCTGTTTCAAAAGATTGTGATAGACATGTTAACACTCAAAAAAATTTAGCACATCGAGAAACGGAAATAAATGAAGATGATCAATTTTATTTAAGAGAAGATAGCTTATGTTTATTGATAAGATTTTTAACAAAGAAATGATATTGATATTTATATTAAAGTAAAGCCCAATCAATACAGTTGTCGACGGAGGAAAGTGAGGAAGAGAATACGTTTATGATAAATGAACTGATGGTGCTAATTTTATATTTCTCAGTCCACTCGCTTTGATCATTTAAGCAGATTTTTTTATGTGCACACACACAAACACACACACACACACACACACACACACACACACACACACATATATATATATATATATATATATATATATATATATATATTTACAATATTCTATAAATTCTACCGAATGTTTGGCGTTAATATGTTTGTAGTTCGTTTTTTCAATTTTTCTCACTAAAGTTTTTCGGTGAACGTTTAGTTTATTAAAATTCAAAATAAACTTATTTTCCGAATTCATGCTGCAAATAAGGCCATATTTCGATTCCGAATGAATCATCATCAGTGCTTTTTGATGTTTATACAGGAAAATATTGACTTTGTCAAAATGAACATAGATGGAAATTGATTTTGTCAAAATGAACTTAGATGGAAATTAGGTGTCAGGTTTCTTTATTGGCTGGTCATCTTCTTTGGTCTCCTTTTCTTCATCGATAGCATCATATTCTTCTTTGTCACTATTTACAATGCTAGTTTTTGTTACTTCTTTGTTTTCATTGTTGGTTAAGCGCCGGGTTGGAAATGAGTTTATCGTCATCGATAGCATCATATTTTTCTTTGTCACTATTTACAATGCTAGTTTTTATTACTTCTTTGTTTTCATTGATATTGTAAAAATTATTGTCTATTACCAACATATATATATATATACATATATTATATATATTGGTAATAGACCATCATTTATATATATATATATATATATATATATATATATATATATATATGTATATATATATATATATTGGTAATAGACCATAATTTTTAAAACATTCTATAAATTCTACCACAAATACCATTCGTATATATATATATATATATATATATATATATATCACATATATACACATATATACACACATATTTATATATACAATGTATATACATGCTTTAAAGATGATTTATGAAAAATTGAAATAAAACTTTATTTGCATGATGAATTCGGATAACAATAGTTTCATTAAACTTTCATGATGAACTTGGATAATTCAATTTTAAGCAAATAAAACAATTTCTGAAAAATTCTAGTAGGGAAAATATAAAAGACAAACTTTAAATTGATTAATGCCAACAATTCGCTAGAATTCACAATATATATATATATATATATATATATATATATATATATATATTATTAAGAGAAAACTTAATATAACGTTCGTTATAGCAGTTTTCACAAACGCTATCAAATTATAACTAATATTAATAACAAAATACGAAGAATGAAAAGAAATGAACTATAATAAAAAAATGTATGTCTTTAATTGTCTTTTAAATTCAGCAATGTTCATTCCAGGCATTCTGAGGGCCAACGGCAAGCCGTTCCAGACACAACAAAATCATGCAATCCAATCTTTAGCTGTCTATGAGGAACCACAATAATGTTTGAATCGTCAGACCTCAGACGCACACCAGATGCGATCGACGTTTTTAATTTCAGTTTATCTGATAAATATTTTGGAGCTGACCATTTAGTGATTTAAAAACTGTGACAAAGATTTTAAAAACAATTCTTTTATTTATGGGCAACCAATGCAAATCACTCAGGATCGGTGTGGCGTGATTATACCATCGACATCCAGCCACAATCCAGGCAGTTCGGTTTTGTATCGATTGCAGAGTTTTGATGGATCTAGCCGGGAGTCCATAAAATAAAAGTCCATAAAATAAACTATTGCAATAATCGACACGCGAGTGCACCAACGCATGCGCCAGAGTCTGCATTGCGTCTTTATCAAGTGATTCTCGAATTTGTTTCAATCTTCTAATCTGTGCCAAGCCTGATATAGAGATCATTTTAAAATGAGATTTCATTGTTAGGTTTGAATCAATAATAAAACCTAGGTTCGACACTGCTTTACAGAAATCTATTTTTTTACCATTCATAACAACTGAATTTATATCCAAGTTTACAAACTGCTGCCAGGTACCAATAGGAAGAAATTTTGTTTTACCCTGGTTAAGCTTCAATTCATTTCTCGACATCCACAAATTAACCTCCGACATACATTCAATGAATCTCGTAATCTCGTCTTGAAATAACATCGGTTTGCCTGATAACATAATTTGAATGTCGTCTGCATATGCATGGCTTTTAAAATCATAGGAATCAATTATCTTCAGCACATCAGATGTATAAAGCAGAAACAATAAAGGACCCAAAACAGACCCCTGCGGCACACTAGAGCGAACCACACTGACGTAGGACAAACTCCCGTTGAACAAAACCTGCTGTGTTCGGCCAATCAAGTAGCTTCTGAGCCACTATATATATATATATATATATATATATATATATATATATATATATATATATATATACATATATATGTATTATATATTGTCGGAAATTTTAAAATAATAAATAATAAATTAATGAGGAGGAGGATTTTTAAAAGGGTGACAAGGCCCCACGTTGGGCGCCAATTGTCGGAGATTTTAAATAATAATAAATTAAAATGGTAAGAGGAAGCAATCTCCTCCTCTATCTTTCTCAGGGAATTTTTGTATGGTCCGACAATAATTTTTGAGTATATTTTTATCGTGAGTTCGACCAGTCCTGTGTGGCACTGGGCTTTTTCTAATTATATGATTTTACTGAGTAACATATACCAATGAGTATAGAATCCAGCAAAGAACCCTAGGTCCACAAATAGCACAAGAAACAAAACAACGAGGCGGATTCGTTTTCACAGAACCCAAGGCCTGTTTTCACTGGGCCTGTCTGTCAGTCGGTCGGCTTTCGCACAACCTTGGCCTGTTTTCACTGGGCCGTCAAGTCTGATCGGCTTTCGCACGACCAAGGGCCTGTTTTCACTGGGCCTGTCAGTCAGTCGGTCGGCTTTCGCACAACCCCGGCCTGTTTTCACTGGGCCGTCGAGTCTGATCGGCTTTCGCACGACCAATACAAGACAACAAGAGTCAGAACAACACTGGAAACAAATTGTGTGTCTTCAGTACGCGTGCGAAACTATGCCAATGAGCATAGAGTCTCGTACTAAATCCACTTTTGAGAACTTAAGGCGTTTCTGAAACTATGCCAATGAGCATAGAATCACGCGTTAAGTCTCTTAGATACCAGAACAGGCACTGATTACTCGAAGCTGCCTAACTGGTGAACCCAAGGCTGACTCTTTGAGAACTTAAGACGTTTCTGAAACTATGCCAATGAGCATAGAATCACGCGTTAAGTCTCTTAGGGACCAGAAGAGGCACTGATTATTCGAAGCTGCCTCACTAGTCAACCCAGTCCTCTAACTGGTGAACCCAGTTTCTCTCAAGTCTTTTCACACCCTTCCTTATCAAAACAAAATTAGATTTTGTTTCGGGTGTTTTAAAACATAAAAATCTACAAGGCATGTCCAATTAATCAGAAAAAGTACTAATTAAATTTTAAAATAATTTATAATAATTTATGACGTCATCTAAATTGCAAAACAAAAAAAAATACGTTGTCACCTATCGAGTAAATTAACTTGCACCATGCCCCCTATCGAGTGAATAAATTTCGCGTTGAAAATTTTGCAGTATTTTTAGTCAGTATTATTTCATAATTCTGACACTATATATATATATATATATAGATGTTTATATATATAAAACTACCATTGTAAAAAATGATGAAATCTAGCATTGTAAATACTGACAAAGAATATGATGCTATCGATGAAGAAAAGGAGACTAAAGTAGATGACCAGCCAATAAAGAAACCTGACACCTAATTTCCATCTAAATTCATTTTCACAAAGTAAATATGCAAATAATAAAAATATAAATCAATTTCCACAGATGATGATTCATTCGGAATCGAAATATGACCTTATTTTCAGCCAGAATTCGAAAAATAAGTTTATTTTAAATTTTAATAAACTAACCGTTTTCAAAAAAAAACTTTGTGAGAAAAATCGAAAAAACGAACTACAAACATATTAACGCAAAACATTCGGTAAAATTTATAGAATATTGTAAAAATTATGGTCTATCACCAACACACACACACACACACACACAGATATATATATATATATATAAATCTATATAAATCTATATATATATATATATATATATATATATATATATATATATCTGACGAATCTCATGAGAGACAAAACGTACGTTTGGCCTAACGCGGGTAATGGATTACCAATAATATATATATATATATATATATATATATATATACATATTTCATTAAGGCCTATATATATATATATATAACGCACTACAAACATATTAACGTAAAACGAACTACAAACATACTAACGCCAAACATTCGGTAGAATTTATAGAATATTGTAAAAATATATATATATATGTTGGTAATAGACCATAATTTTTACAATATTCTATAAATTCTTACGATGCATAATCAGAGTGGTGCTATCAAATCTCAATTGGACTCAACACACTCAATCACGATAAACCGTGAAATCCTCGGCAGCAACATCAAAGTAATATACCAAAACACCAATTACAAAAACTGCGCATTAGCCAATCTGACGATGACACTAGCCGAAACGGCCGTCAGCCAAATCACAGACTTAAATCTGAATCTGAAAAATTACGTCTTGTTAAAGTCTTATTTAAAAAGCAAATAACTACAAATTGGGGTATTATTTTTGATAGAAAATATATCTATATGGTTGCCTCAGTAACCAATGCCATATAATATATATATATATATTTTTACAATTAAAATATATATATATGTATGTATGTATATGAATTTTCATCATGTTGGAATCTATTTGATGTGCGTGAGTGCGGCGGCGAGAAGCAGCCGCAAGCATTCAAGTGCAAATGAAATGCAAACAAACATATGTCCATCTTAAACATATGCTTAGACAAGAAAATATTTTTGTTACATAGTTTTACCCTTAGAATTTTTAATTAATGTTCATAGATATTATTATTAATGCAATTTTTTACTATTCTATCATATTAATGGAAATACTGTTTGAACGTAAAGTAGTTGTTGACAGCATCATACAGGCATGCTGACGTTCAGGAATATGAAGATAAAGCAACAATAATTATATATATATATATATATATTATATACGTATATATACATATATATTCATATAGATGCACATTCTGGCTTATACCTACAACAGCTTGTTCATGCACGAGACGTGCGTCTGCATACACTCACACATTCCAGGTTGGTTATTAATTCAACGTCTGAGACTTACATCAACGAATTGAAATTTTCACGTTAAAATAGTTCAAAAAATGTTGCTATGGATTATATTTATTTATTTATTGTAATTCCTTAGTCGGCATGTGCAAAACACACATGACATAAATTGTTATTGTGTAAATATAAATAAATGTATATATATATTTATATATACATGTATACATATATATATATAAATATATATATATATATATATATGTATGCATGTATATTACTCCATGATACATGTTCTTTCAATGTATTTTCCATCTCCATATTGAAGAATGTTGCCATATGAAATTAATTGAAAAGCAAAATGTTTTAAAAACTGTTTTTTTTATGTCAATCATTCACTACTTGAGAGTTTAAAAAGGGTCTTTACTATTAAAAATTCATATTTGTGCTGAATGTTTGCAACGTTACGCTCCGATGTTATTTGTTGACTGCTGATTGGTTGTTCATCGAATGGCCAGGGTCCTCTAAAAGATCCGAATTATAATCAATTAAGGTAACTAATTAATTTTTCATTCACATAATTTAATTCTTTTGGCATACTGTGATGAAATGATATAGTTATGTAAAAAATTTATAATGTGGAACAAAACTTCTACAGTACCTTTGCTTTTGTTTCATTTGTTGAAATCACGTGCAGCTCGCCCCTAAGAAGCTAGAGGGCGATTATTCTATATTGAAATTTTGATATCATATGCAACGTTCGCGTCAAAAAATTTAAAGAATGAAATTATGTAGTGGAAGAGTGATGCCGCCATCATCTAATAGATTCAATTTTTAAATGTTTTCATAACTGTTTACCAATACATTTTTTACATTTTAAATGTAGCTGAATTAATTTATTTATTCACAAAATATTCATCTATTCAAGAGGACAGAAAAGCAAATTATTTCTGGAAGTGACAGATTCGACAACCGACAGATGCGAATAAAGGACCGCATTTTGCAAAAGAAGAAATATTTAACAACTCGCAACAGCATATCATCTGTAGACAGTTTAGACCTAGTTCGCATGAACGTACCACCTTCCGCAAGAAAACGGTGGACTACATTAGAAAGCGCTGGAAGAAGTCTTTTTGTTTTATCAACTATTCTTCTGCTTGTTGGAATAAGTATTACCATTTTGGGTTTCATCGATTTAAAAATGGCTCCATCTCATCAGCTTTTTTTGCAAATAATTGGACCTGCATGTCTCATGGCGACCGCGGTCATGTGGGTTGTGGGTGGTGTATTCTGTCGATTGTGGACTGTTGAAATGCAAAGGCAAAAACATTCTATGGAATTGAGAACTCGAGTTCAACTTCACGCGCTTGCTATAGACTTGCTCAAAAATCCTCAAATCTTTTCTACACAAGCTCTTGAAGATCCGCAGATACGAAGTCAACTTTTATTAAAACTTAGACAACAAAATGCTCTTGACACAAGGTTTGAAACGAGATTTGTTATGATATTCATTTGCGATCATGTCGTTGGTTTTTATAATGTGCTGAAAAAAGTGAAAACTTAAAAAATGTTAAATGACTTATTATTTTTTCATGATGAAATATATAAAATGTTAAAGTAGAATGTTCAAAATATTAAAAATTGCGTTTATTAAAAATTTTGTGTGTGATAACTATCGGAAAGATGATACTTGTATGTATTATCTCTTGCCGCATCTACGTATAAAACACGCCCTTCCTTGTCAACAATACTGACAGCCCTCAAAAACTAATAAATATGAAAAAGGCTTAGAGCCATGCAATCGGAAAAATTTTGCAGCAATTGGTATGAGATAAAAAAGCAGCTTTTATGAGCAGTTTTTACCAATGATTATGTCGAATATCTCGGTAAGATTTATATTTAGAAAACAACATTACTTAATGCTTAAAAAAACGCAAAAACATATCAGTTTTTTAGCCTCGTATGCACGATGTATTTTTGACTTAAATTGGAAATAACATAGACTCCTTGGTCATTGAGACAGTAGAAACATGGATCTCACTACTGTTCATCAGAAAATTTATTGCTCCATTACAAATCAGGTGGTTTAAATGTTAGGTCGCTGAAAAAATATATTGAATTTCCGAGAGTAAAACTTTCTAAACTTTTTGGAAATAAACGATAACGACCAATTATGACTCGTTTTTTAGTTTTATCAAAATCGACAACTTGACTATCTTTCTGAATCAAAAGACATAAAACCAACAATTAAAGATTTTTTCATGTTTATGGCCAGAATAAAAAATGTTTTCATCATTATTATTATTATTATTAATTAATTGTTGGATTAACTAAATAACTAATGCGTGGTTCTATGCATTAAAAGAAGTATTATTAAAATACTATTAAAATTATTAAAAGCCCGCACAAATAAAAATGATTATTTCATTTTTGAAAATTTGTATGAATGGTTGCTATCAAACACAAGAAATCTTTTTGTTCCTGCATCATCAACTTCCAAAATCATGTGGAAAAATGTCACATACTAGGCAAAATCATATTTATCTTCACAAAAATTAAAATTTACCTGAACTTTTAAAAAACTGTCATCAACGTTTCTTAAAAGCTATCAAAGTTTCTTAAAGGGACCTCCAATAAATAAATAAATCAAGGCCACCACATTTTGTGACCCTAGGGCCTCACACTTGTAAATCAATTTAATATTTAAAATGGATAACTTAATTGATAGATGTGTAATACAATTAGTTAATTTCATCATTTACTAGATGTACTTGCACTGTCTTCCTTATCTGTGGCCTTACTCTGAGTCTGTGTAATATTGTTTTAAATTAGTAAAATTATTCAAACCAAGCTCTACATTAGACAGTAAACTCGTTCACTTCCAAATGACGTCACCAAATTTTTTTCCCTCAACTTCTCGATTTGCTTTTAACACGTTTCTAATCATTCTAATTTTTAGTTTTTCCAATCTTTTTTTTCTAACAGCACGCTTATATTTTATGTAGAAAAAAGTCATACAAATAATGTTCTCAATAAAAAAACGGGAGCCTTTGTAATAATTTTTAAACTGGTCATCTTTATTCAATTTAAACCAAACTTTTTATTCGAAAAATACGTGCGCTTTCAAGTGGTGTCAAAACATTTAAATATAGTTTTTATTATATAGTTTTAAAATAATTAAAATAATTTTTTATATTCAACCCGAAATAATATATCAAAATACCAAGATACCAAAACATTGTTTACATTAACTTTTATTCAGCAAAGCACTTTTTAAAATATGACCAAAAACACAAAACTTGTTGAACGAAAAATTAATTTTTTTAAATTCTCTAAATCAAACTCTGTAAAATGCAGAGAATGTAACAAAATGCAAAGTACGAAATGATAAAAATATAAACTATTAATATAGAAAGTCTTACATTTGTAAATTTTGAATATAAAATATATTGGTGACAATAAATTAAAAAAAAACAAAAGGTAATCAATAAAATTTAAAAAATGAATAAAATAATAAAAATAGAATAGGTATAATAAAAGTTTAAAAAAATGAAAAACTAAAGAAAAAGCGGTGTACATTCAAAGCCAACCATTTTGTTTTTACTCATCGTTCATACTTATAGACATATGTAAATGGCAGAGTACATTCATTTCTTCAAGTATGACATATGAAAAGTGCACTGCATATATAAATATATATAAATATAAACATATATATATATATATAATATATATATACACACATACGCCCACATTCATAATTATTAATTCTCGAAAATGAGTTGCATACATTCACAAGTTCAATTCAAGTATGAAGCAGAATAAAAAGATTAAAAGATTGAACATATAAAAAATTTGACAATTTTCATTTATAAAAATGTTGTAGTTTTAAATTTAACACCAAGTAGTTCGAATACAAAAAAGCAGTTCATTCAACATAATAAGCTTATGTAATGCACAAGTTGTTTCGATTGGGATAGGATAACTTTTGGTCATAACTTACACAAAATAAATTAAAATATTCGGTTAATATTGATGGTAATTCAATTGACTTTTGTACATCTGTGCACAATCTGAAAAAGATTTTGGACAGTAATTTACTTACTGATTTACTGATGCAAGATCACGTTAGATCACTTGAAAGAGAATGCTATCATCATTAGCGTGGAATGAGATTTGTTCGGAAATCATTAAATAAGGACATTTTACAAAGTCTAGTTCATGCGTTCATACATTTAAAAATTGATTATTGCAATGTTTTGTTCTGGCATTGCAAATAAAGTGAATTGGGCTGCAAAGACTAATGGGTGCATTAAAGTTTGAACATGTTACTCCAATTTTGCGAGAATTGCATTGGCTATCGCTTAAAAAAAGAGTTGTCTTCAGAATTGCTGTTGCAGCTTTTAAATGCAAAAATGGCCTGGCTACCAAATACTTTCAAGATAAAATTGTTCGGAGAGATATTCCAATGCATCGGCTTGGATTGCGTTCAGATGGTTTAAACCTGCTAAAAGTTCCTTTTGCTGAATTGAAAATATGATAAAGAAATTTTGCTATTGTTGGATCGATGATTTGGATTAGTCTGCCACAACATTTTTGTACCCTTGCAACGTTTCAAAAAAACTAAAAGCTTAAATATTTTTTCTGGGCAATCTATGATTTTAGTTATTGGCGTTTTTGAAAAGATTTGAAAACGAGCCAAACGAACACTCATAATAATAATAACTGACAAAGATTATGGCTAGTCACAAAATAAGACAAGTTGTAGGGTAGATATCATTGTTATTATACTTTTTTAAAGTTCTAATAATTTTCTAAATAAATTTTCATTGAAAATTTATTGTAAACTCAGTTGACCCATTAATGCAGTTGGCAATTCGATTTGGTGTGTTACAGCTTATTAACGCATTGTAACAAATATCTAATCTAATATATTTGGAACATAATTAAATGAAATAATTATAGACATCATACTAGAATTAATAAATTTAATAACAATAAATAAAAATAGTTAGAAAATAAAATTAAAATATTTGAAAATATTAAGCAATTAAAATTTTAAACGATGAACATTTTATTCAGTTCTCTAGATTCAATATCAAGAAAATCTTCCAGAGTTCCAAGTATTGATACCAGAAGTCGACTTAGCCATAGCAGTTTAATAGGAACTTACATACATGAAGCGGAAGAAAAATCAATGAAGGTAGGAATAGATTGCAAAAAATCTTTAGAAGCTTCAATAAGTACTGGTAGCATTATTCTTCCAGTTCCTTGCGATCTACCAGGTATCCATATAAGCAGAATTGAAACATTAGATTTTGACGATATGTCGATGCTGTCAGGGTTTGGTCAGTTGGGCTCAAGAAGGTACATAATTATAGAAAGTGACGGATTAAGTGACTGTTCTAAAATGTCTATTCCTAATTCCGAATGCTCATTTTCAATGTGCAGTCGAAGCAGCCGGAGCAGAAGTAGTAAAGATTCAAGCAATTTTGGTTCCAGAATATGGGATTTTTCTTCTCCTCGAGAATCTGAATGGGAAGTAAATGTTCCTAACAATTTACGTCTGGACACTTCAAATGGCTACACTAATTTGCGTCATTCCTCTATATCTTCAAACACAAATCAAAATCCAAGTTTTTTATCACCCATGATGCCTCGCAAAGGATCAACCGTTACGTTTGGCAAAAACGAAACAACTGGAAGGAGACATTCAAGTCCAGCGTCAAGTTTTCGCAAGAAAGAAGGTCGCAATGTTTCACATGCTCCAAATTTAACACATGAAAATAATTTTTCTACTGCAAATAATTCTGGAATAACACCAAAACAACAGTCCAGAGATGCTTCAAACAATGGTTCAAAAATCGAAAGCTCAAATTGGCTGTTTGCAAGTCAACAAGCTTTTTATGGCACTTCAGCTTATAGAAAAAAAAGTGCTGGTGACCAATCTCTTATGTCCATAATTATTGATGAGAACGATGGCGATGAAGATGAGGAAAACAAGAACGCCGGTGTAATGGATGAATCTAATAACAATCACGCACTGTCCGGGCCAATTAAATTTTCAAGAGAACCTCTAAACCCTTATATCAAATCTTCAGCAACAATTCACCAACAAAATTTATCTGCAAATATTGCCGATAAAGAAAACATCTGCGAAGAAAAAAAGTCATCAATGATTCAAGAATGTTACGATGACTCAGACGAGAACGTCTCAAATAAATGTATTAGTTTTTTAAAATCTAAATTGGAAGTAAATGAAGACACAAGAAAAAATGCAGATCGAGGTATGCATGATAACGAAAAAAAAGAAATAGAGCTACGGCGAAGTACTGCAAGTTTCACAAAATGCAAGGAAACCGATGTTAAAGGTTTTCATTTTTATAATTTAATAAATCGTTATAGTCTTTGCAATTGAACTATTTTTGAAATGAAACAAATATTTAAAAACAGATAAAAGCATGAACCACAGCGGAACCGAAAAAACGATGACGAGACAAAAGTTTCCTACATTTGCAGCCAATTTCAAGCCAAAGTTTCGTGAAACGAATTTGAAAAACAGCAACTTGTCAGAGAGAGATTTGCACAGTGAGAAGAAACATGCAGACAATTTCAATTACGAGTTATTAAAAAAAGAATCAACTGAAAAAAGTAAATTGAAGACATTTTTTTCAAGTTTTGTCAAATGAAACGATTTTAACTAAGTGATGAATACTATTGTATAACTTAACAGGATCATTAATTGAATATTTTTTAAACTTTGAATTTAAACAATCATGCACGTATTGAATCGACCATTCACATAAACTAAATGTATGTTGTATAGTTTATACCAAGTATTCTTGTTTTTCTTCGTTTGTGATCAATTTCATGTTTGTACCGCTTCTTGTTTTGATGAAATATATTTTTATAATGAAATACATCTTTGATAAATGAACACAAAAATTAAAACATTGCAGCTCTGTTGAAAATATTTTTTTATTTTGTTGTTGTGTGGCTACATGTTTGCTATATAATGATAATATATTGAGTTTATTTAACAATTAGTGTGTAATTTCGTTTTAAAACATGTTTTTCATTTACTCTAAGTTTATAAAATTAATAATAAATAATTCATTTTTTCAAATGCACTGATTTTTAAGCAAGTTATTAATTCAGTATTCATAAACGTTTAAATATTTTAATGTTTATTGATGCAATAAGATTTGATTAATTAAATAATCATTTTTCATCATTCACACTTTGTTCGCCATTCAGCTGTACTCGGGAAATATTGGTGGGTTTATTTAAAATTTAAAGTTCTCTTTTTAAAATTTTTCATGTTCCAACTATTGAGATCTTCAAGAATCATCTTATTCTCACCTACACTGATTCATTCCTACAGGGTCATTCAATTATTGACGTCACTTCGTATTTCCCTTCAGTGTCAATTCAGCATTATTTTGAATCGTTTTCCAAGCAGTATTTTCATCCTCATCTTTCATTTTAATCAGCCCACCGGTCTCATCTTCTTTGCTTGATGGTCGCATATCCTCTTTCACATATAAATTTAAAATTTGTTTGGCAAAATGTTTTTGTACATTTTAAAAAATATTAATTAATTGCGTTTTTTACAATAAAATTTTTTTTGTAAAACAAAGATTGAGAATAAAATTAATTTTGTTTTGTTGTCGGACCGATTTGTTATTTTAATATGGTTGGTTCCAAAATGTTTTAAGAACTCGAGCTATAAAGCCACCATTAATTAATGCGTAGTTGCCATTTGAGATTATTATTATTATTATAAACGTTTATAAAGCGATTTTTATAAAAAATTTAATGGCCACAGATTTGACTACGTATGCATTCCTCGTGCAGTTTCAGTCTCGATCCCGCATACATTTTGAAAAATATTAGAAATTAAATATTAACATGTAATAATAAAAAATAAACTATGTATACGCCTGCTCTTCTTTTGAGATTTTTAACTTTTCAATAACGTTACATTTTGTAATGTAAATTGAATATTTTTAAGAACTTTGTATCAAATAAATTGGTAATTAAATTTTTACCGGGTTGTAATGTTTAAAAATTTGAATTCTTAACGACTATATTTTTTCACTGTTAATCAGTCCAATTTTTTTTCCAAAAGTTTTTAAAAGGCATCTAGCTTCTTCTTGCATCAAATCAAAACACATTGCCAGCAAAGCTAAGCCAACTATCAAATATAAGGTGCATAAAACCAGTTTTTCTTGAGATGAAGATGGATCTAAACTTGCGCCGGGAACAAAATCTCCAAAGCCAATTGTGGACAACGTTATAAAGCAGAAATATGAACCGATCAGTACGTTCCAATCATTTTCCCACAATCCAAATAGAAGAGCACCGAGACCGATGTAACCTGCAATTAGCAAGAGACTCACGTAAATGGGAACCTGCACATAAACAACAAAAATATGTTATTTTTTATACTGGGTAACAATTTTTTCTTATTTAAAGTTAAAATAATGCAGCTGATTTATATTAAAATCAATATTAAAATCAACATTTGTAATTAGCTTAAAATGATAACATGTAAGAGATTTTACGCAAATGATTGGTTATCATAGAGTTATTTAAAAATTCAGAAAATCGTTGTTGTGCCAGTAAAATATTTAACCATACATGTAGCTGTTTCATAAATTCTAACCAGAGTTTTATATATACAGAGGAAATCAGTTAGACCAGTCGCTCATTCAGACTAATCTTCAAAAAACAAAATCTCTGTCTATTATGCAAGCTTAATTTAGTTGGCTTAATCGGGCCAGAAGATATATATATATAAGCTTTCTTTATATATAACATATATAAAGAAGATATAAGCCATTTAATGGCCAACAAAAAATGTTACCTGCTAACAAGAAATGCACGTTTGATATTTTGTGCGACTCTCATTTACTAAGTGAAAATTTGAAAGCTTACTTTAAAAAATTACTAAAAATCTTTTTAGAATTGACTCTTTTTTGATGTTTCTAATTAATGTGTTGATGGTCGTTAAGATAAATCAACTTCTCAATACCTTTCATAGATATGCATCAAATGAACAACGTGTTTAATGTTCAGTCCAACGAACTTAAAAAAAAAACTTTGCTCGTTTGCAAGTAGAATTGAACCCTTTAACACGAAATACATGTTTTTTTCAAACAAAACCGGTATTTTTAATTTTTTAGATAATCACATTTATATTATAATTTCTTTAATTTAATCTTAAGTTTTACATCGAATATGTCATCCTTAGAGATTTGCACAAGGCCGGATTAAGTGGGCCTCTGTTCTAAACAATAGTACCTTTAAAGTAAAACACAACAATAAGTTTTCTAATAGCAAAAAAAATGGACATGGAAATACGATAAACTATAAACATAAATGCATTGAAAATATAGAAAAATAGGGTAAATAAATTATTAAGACAAACAAACTGGTCAATTAACAACGGAATAACTTTCAAATTCAAAGACATCGGCAATGTAATTTACAAGAAAAAGCAAGATAAACTTCCCAAACTGGCAATTAAATAACAGTTTAAAATTTCTAGGCTTAATAGCTTAACTTCTTTCCTCATATACAATGGTTTGCAAATAATAAAAATTTATTGATTATATATAGAATTCAAAATGATCAATAATAAATTATGAATTTCAGGTTTATAGATCCACCAGAAAATCTTATCTAAATTCAATAATTCCAATTATAAATGACTGACTAAGGCTATGTCTATGAAGATAGGACATCGCCTTCAATAAGTCTACATGTATAAGCAAACGAAATTCTCTTACAACTTAGACACATCAAATTTTTTCTTAACTATTGCTACAAGAACTCATCCAATAACAAAAATCCTTTTTACAAATATGTTACATCTAAACAACACAAAACGAATTTCAGTATAAACAACAAATTAATTAATCCATTTTATTTACAAACTGAAAAACATATTAAAAATATAGGACAATATAATATCATGAAAATCCCAGACATGCTAATTCCTAGCTGAAAAATAATTAAACCTGAAATAAATACATAACCTAACAAAATATAAAAAATCAGAAGAACAATAAATTTTACGACCTATAGTTAAAGAATTCTTTAACGACTGCATTAATAAAACCATAATATATACAGACGGATCAAAAATAAATCAATCTCTAACAGCAGCTGCGGTGATTGTTGAAACTGAAATAAGTACCCATCTTCCAGATAACACATTTATTTTCACAGCTAAACTTCAAACCATTAATATGGCCCTAAATCACATTAAAAACGAAACCAATAAATATTTTATGATAATAACAGACTCTTTGTCATGTGTAAAAGCACTAGTCGGCATAATCACGCTTAAAATCCATAATATATCTCAAAATAAATGCCAACTCAAAATAATTTGAGTGCCAAGCCATAAGGGTATATTTAGTGATGAAAAGTCAGACAATTTGGTTTTAGTAGCCCATCAAAAACCAGTTGGGGACACTGAAATGCTATTCAATGATATTAAAGCTGTAGTAGACCAGGAAGTATATAAATTTTGCAGACTGAATGGTACGACTCCAATACGCAATTAAGGCAGATCATACAATTATCTGATCAAATAATATTCAAAACAAATAGCACTCGATTTACAACATTAAAAATCATTAGAATAATGATAGGACCAACAAAGTTAAGTCATGGACACCTATTAAATAGAACGGCGCAACCTATTGGCCTATATTGCAAACATAAGTTTTCAATTCAACGTATAATAGCTTCCAAAACCACATTTGCTGACAAACTAGTTGATAAAAATCTTTCAGAAAATTTCAAGACAAGCGAAGACGTAACTAAACTTATAGAATTTCTAAAATACTTAAATCTATATGATGGGATTTAATAAAAACAAAATAACCCTAAAGAATAAAACCCCTTTCCAACCAGGCCCACCGTAGCACCATCCAGGAGCTGAAATACCATAAAAAATTTTACATCAAAGATTGAACAGGAGCACTGCTTGGCCATATAGGATAACCATTGACCTCAATGGATAACCAAAAAACATATATTTTGTTGTTTTTACATATGTTTTTTTGTTAGATTGAGTAATATATAAGGCGGTCATGATCGGATTAACCTTGAGACCAAAGCTTATTTTGTTAGTCTCACACCAAAAAATACAAACATTTTCAGCATTTCAACTTTATATTTAATAGAAATTTTGTTTCTAAGTTCCCAAAAATTTGGTTTTATCATATACCGCGTAATTTCCATGGCAAAATCCACGTTTTCATGCTTACCGCCAGTTTGGACTTAATTAAATTTAACTTGATGGAAGGTACGCAAGAAAGTTTGTCTTTTAGTTTGTTCGAATAACCAAATACTTCAAGGACCATACGTCTGCGGATGTAAATTTAAAATAACTTAAATTTTAACCTGTATGTTTCGATTGTCATCCGTGAACAGAGCGTTGTGGATTCCTCGCCTCCATTTTACAATGGTATTGTAGGACTGCCTCAGTCGTTTTGTTTTTGGATGATTTTTCGATTTTATCACTTCGGTATCGACGACACAATTTAGTTTTGTTTCAGAAAATATTTTTTTGTTTGATTCACGTGTTTTTACTGTTTTGAAATTTCGACAGCATGTCAACACAAAATATGATTGCCAGTTCTTGTTTTTGTTTGTTGCAAAATCTTCATTACTGTTACCAAATGTTGTGTTTATTTGAACATCTTTTTTTGACGGTTCTCGCGAGAAAGATTTTTGTCTTTTCATTTTGTTGAAGCAAACACAGCAAAGACCACAAAAAATGTTTTTATATAAAAATCTAAAAATCGTGGCCATAAATCCTCCTATGTGAGTGACAGAGAAAATACACAAAGGAATGCCAACCAAGGCATAAAATATGGTGACAACGCGTCCTTCATCAGTTTTTGGAGCTATGTGGCCGTATCCTGCCAATTCATAAAATCTTAATAACAATGAATATTTTTTTAAAAATAACTTTACAAAACTTATTAATTTGCAGCGTATTAATTTTAAAATATGTTTCAAGACTAGTTAAAAATCACTGAAATTTTTTGCAATTTATGACAAATTTCTTTTGTGTGTCAATATGAAAACAAAAACCTAAGTGTGAACTAGCTACTTGAATTCACAAAATCATTCGGCAAAATTTGAAAATTTTTCTCATAATGAAAATTTTTCACTTTTTAAACGTTTTAATGACTTGAAATTTTCAAGATTTTTTTCAATGAAATATAATGCCGTTTTGAAACAAGTTTATCATAAGAAGTGGCATCAGCAGATGATGTGGTGCATATTTCACCGTGCTTTGTGCTGCGTCTCACTTTTTTTGGGCAGCACTTGAAACGTTTTAACGATATGCCTTAGCTAACCGTCCACAATTCATGGAGACAATTAAGTTAACTATTTTTATTGCTCGTTAAAAAATTTTAACAAATCCTATAAAAACCGAACTGTTGTTTAAACCGATTTATATGAAAAATCTTTCAAAAATTAGTAAAAACCCTGATTATATAAATATGATGTCATCCGAATGTTTCTGATTAAAATAAATTGAAAATGTCAAAAAAAGCTTAAACGAACGTTGTTTAACACTCAATTAAAAATCACAAGCACGTTATTAACAAGCTGCATGAAAAAAATTATTTCATATAAATGTAGCGACTATGATAGTTAATTGAAACATACCTATTGTCGTTATGACGGTGACGGAATAGAGCATGGAGCCGGTAAAACTCCACTGCAGTTCTGCTGATTCGTTCCTATCCTGTCCATTCCAGCCATCGCATTTTGTTATATTAAAAACAAACATTGTATAATTGCGCAATATTTTTGATGCAACGTTGCTCCAGTTTTGTCTGAACAATATATTCATTGACTTTGTGGTATTCCACAGCTTATCAACGTGATAAGCGCGCGATGTTTTCACGTCAAGTTGAGTTTGCACTTCTTTTGAACTTTCTATCCTGTGAAATAGAAAACCTCCAAAGATTGTATAAGATGTTAATAAAATGAATAAACCAAGAGTAGATAGCAAAAACCCCAAAAATTTTTTCAAATAAATTATCGCCAATTTTTTTTTGGTTCTCCACGCCAGACTTTTTTTCGTTTTTTTGATAACCTTTGTTTCATGAGGAACGTTATTCTTGTAACCAGTCCTCCAGTTGTTTTCATGCATTTTCACGTTTTTCCACAGTGACGTCAATTTGGATCAACTACTAATGTATCAAAGACCATGTAGATGGAAGATAATGCAAATTAAATTCGCCTGAAAATTATTTATTAACTAATCTTTCTAATTAAAACCTAAATTTTTTTATTAGTTTTATCAAATCTTCAAAATTTAGTAAATCGTGTAATTTTACACCTGTGTTGCAACCGAAAGTTATTACTTGATGAATTATTTTGCGTTAGAATGTTTCGTAGATAAAAAAAATTAATTACAAGCAGCAAATAAATGCCAGCTTCCTTCTCTTCGTCAGTCAGGTGAACGCAAATGTTATATTTGCAGTTAAAAACCTTAACGACGTAACCAATAACAACTGCAATCAATAATAGTCTCAGTTCACATTGGCATTGATTGTGACGAAACCATGCTCTTGTTCGTTTTCATTCATTTTTAACATTATTCATTTAATTTAATAATTAACAATAAACATTAAAAAAAGCTTAACATATTGTTACAGCCGCTGGAATGATCAAATTGCGCTTTATTGTTTGTTATCGTAATTATTGGTATCTTTGCTATGGTATCTTTGTAATATTTGGATTAGAGGATTTTAAAAATCTAGGCTATATATAGGTCTTGCGTAGCCAGGTTTCCAGTCAGGTTTACAGCAGAGAAAACGAAGTTGTAAATGTGAGTTATGTAGTTACTTGGATTAGTTTGATGTTTGTATTACAGTTGGTATTCAGATAAACGTTCAACAAAATTTGCGTGTGGAGCAGTTGTGTTCATCTATCGGAAAACTTGAACCTAATGAACACTTGATGAACGTTAGAAGCTACAACACTGATTTGGAAATATAGAGATCTTCGAAGTTATAACATTTGTGTTGGTAGTTACGAGAGGCATAGGTTACAACAGTGGCATCAGAAGTAAAATATTTGATAAATCTAAATTTTTCTGCAATAAAGATGAAATCAATACAACTAATCTGAGAAAAATTTTCTGCAATAAAGAAAAACTTAATACAACTAGTCAGAGGAAAAACTATGGCAACGAAATCTCTCCTCGAAAGGAGCGAAGGCGGTTTTGGAGAACAGCCTAAGAGACGCTCTAATAAAAGAAGAATCCGATCCTGATGAATTTGAATTTTCGGATCTTTTGTTAGCTGAAATTAATAAGAAATTTGATCAACAGACAGCCGATATGAACAAAAAATTTGACCAATAAAACGATAAGATCGATCAACAAAACGACGACAAGATCGAACAACAGCTCGCCAAAATGAATAGAAGATTTGATCAACAGGCAATCGAATCAAAAGAAATGGCAGCCGCAATGAAGTTACTGGCATGTGAAATGTCAGCAATACTAAAAAGACTAAACGACAAGATAGAACAACAGTCAATAAACTTTAAGGCTGAATTGAAAGTAAAAATTGATAAAATAGACCAGAAAAAGGATGAAATAAACAAAAGAATTGACGAATTAAAACAAAAGCGCCTTCAAAAAATAGAAGGCATTACCCGGGAAATAAAAAACTAAAAAAAGTGCCATACACGGGTATGCCCCCGCCAAGTCAATAAAAGCACCAACATTCAACGGCTCCGCTTTGAAGGTATTACCATTTATTCCTGCCAAGGACCGTGACAACTTCGAAATTCTAACCGACGCGTTAGACCGACGCTATAGAAACAAATATACATAAAACTTTTACTTAACACAGCTCGACCACCGTATGAAGAAACAAGGGAAACTACTCAACTAGCACAAGACTTAGAGAGACTGACCCTGCTAGCGCAGGTGCTCAGGAATTCAGGAACAAAACGGCAACAAAAGCGTTTATTCAAGCCCTACGATACCCAGATATGAGATATGATTTCACATTATCAAAAATTAAAGAAATCCTGGAACAGTAAATGACACTGGAATCTGCAAAGCTTGATTTAAAAAAGACACAAAAATAGGGCCAATCCACAAAAGGAATGAGTGTTGAAGAATTTTCTCAACAACAGGAGAGCACAACCACCAAATGCTAAAATTGTGAAAAAAGGCATATCAAGAAGTATTGTAAGAGGCCCAAGAGAAGTAACGCTTATCGAAGGAACGAAACGGAAAAAACGGACTTTCGAAAAGATGCCGCCAGTTCCATGTTTGGAACGTTTGAAGCTAACACGTCGGAAAACAAATTAAAGCCAATTTTGCGGAACCAAAGTTGGCTAGAAAGAAAAAAAGGCTTCGAGCAGTATTATTCATGTCTCAAGACTGCATCGCGCGACCAAGATGACCTTTGGGTTGAAAGAAAGATAGATCTACGCAAATGTTTAATTATTACCATTCATACAGGAGCAACTAGATCTATTTTTAGACGAGATATGTCAATGGACCTAAAAACAAAAAAAAATCTAGCAAGTACCTACTTCAAACTGTCACTGGAGGAACGGCGCCTGCGTACGGAAAAATATTCTGCACGGTAGATATAGAAGATCTTGATTGTGAGGGCACGTTTATGGTGGGTAGCAGATATTACTGAAGAATGCATCTTAGGCATCGACTGGATGATGAAGTACGGCTTCTACCTAAATCTGAAAAAACGCGTCTTAAAATGAGAAAACACGGAAGTGGTGATGGGGAACAGTCAGCCAATATTAACGGTCGATGGTGATATGGTAATACCAAGTCTGTCAGAAAATATCATTTGGGTAAAGATGAAAAACAGTGTAACAGCCGACAAATTGCCCTGGTGGAACCTACTTTGACGTTCAAAATACCGAATATCCATGTTGGAAAATGCCTAGTAGAAATAAAAAAAACGGCAAAATTTCTATCTAAGTAATGAATGTATCGAATAACCAAATAAGAATAAATGATGGCAGTGCACACCTACGGAACGTCCATAATTTCAAACACAACCTATTAGACAAGACAATCCTCACTGAGGAAAAGCAAAAAAAGGCCGAAACACTGCTGGCCAATTATTTGGATATATTCTCGACTGGCGACATCGACCTAAAAAAACAGGCCTAGTATCTCACAGTAGAGATACTCAAGGTTGCGAACCAATTAGACAAATTCCACGACGCCTTCTACCGTCAATGCAGGTGGAAGCCGATGAGATGATTTCCATGATGCAAAAGCAAGGCGTTATCGAATCATCGGCAAGTCCCTGGATATCTCTAGTCGTCCTAGTCAAGAAGAAGGATGGTAGTAATCGCTTTTGCGTGGACTACAAAAAACTAAACGCGGCCACCAAGAAAGATAGTTATGCGCTTCCAAGGATTGCCAATATAATAGATACCTTATCTGGTTTCCTGTGGTTTTCGACTTTGGATCTGAAAGGCGGGTACTAGAAGGTCGAAATTTAAAAGAAAGACAGAGAAAAGGTTGCCTTTTAATTTACAGTGATGCCACTCGGGTTATGTAATGCCCCGGCCACATTTGATCGGCTGACGGAATATGTTTTGATGGTATTATTGTTTAAAGAAGTTTGTTCGATCAACACCTTGCAAGCTTTCAAGAAGTATTCTCCAGATTTTGTGCAGCAATCTCAAGCTGACTAAAAAGAATTGAAAGTTTTTCTCAAATGAAGCAAATTATCTTAGACATTTGATAACAACAGAAGGCGTAAAAATGGATGTTTTCAAAATCGATACAGTAAGAACTTGGTAATATCCACAGATAAATCAAAATTACGTTCTTTTCTTTGAATAGCTACTTATCACCTACAATGTCAGTAATAACGAAATAGAAGCAGTCCTGTTACAAGACATCATTGGAGATGAAAGGGTGCTGGCTTATTAAAGCAGGAAACTTTCAAGATCGGAACGCAACTTCAATAAAGCATTTTCATTGATATCTTTACCGACAAGAATTTGTCCTCCGTAAGGATCATGTGTCTTTAAAAATGGCTGCTCGATTATAAAAAATCGGAAGGACAAGTCTCCCGTTGGCTGGAGAGGCTACAGGCATACCATTTTTAGATCAAGCACCAAAGAGAATGCATCCATAACAACGACGATGCATTATCACGTCGACCATGCCCGCCAAACTGCAAATACTGTTGCAGAGCGGAAAAAAAGGCACAACCTGCAATCTTCTTGACCACAGACAGCGGATGGACGCCCGTAAAATTGTTGCCGCACAACGCGCTGGCGAGGATCTACAATGCGTTATCAGGTGGAAGAAAGCTTGTCAGAAACCAAGCTGACAAGACATCTCGGAACACGGTCCCATGTCGAAATGCTACTTTTACTGATTGAGCAAAAGTCTGAAATAGTAGAAATTATAAAAATTAATGAACATTAAATATCACTAACACGACAGTCTTAAAAAATCCTTCCAACAATGAATTTTTACAAATATTACTTTACATTCGTGTATTTGAATATAATCATGAGTATGAAAAGTGACCAAGTATTGTCCGCACAATCTTAATCAACTAGAACGATTTTCTTTTGTTCTTGATAGTTTATTATTGTTATTATTATTATAAAGATCATTAATAGGACTTTTTAATTATTTTAATTTACTCTAAATTAACATTTTTTTGTTTAATTCTTTTATAAACTTTAGCATAAATTTTATCAAATTTGAGCATCAACCCTCATCAAACTGTATCTATAGTATACCATATTGTGTGTATGTTCCAACATGAACCAATGTGATCGATCGAACACTTTACTCGTCGTCGTCGTTTGCATTGTGCGAAGTGTTTTCTTAGTCATTGTTATTATTAATGTGTTCCTGCTTATAGTCTCCAATATCAATATTGCCCTAAAGTGTATTTTATATTTAAATTACCTTTAATATCTTATTGTATTCTATTTCTTTTAATAGAATCTTTATACGGTTGAAAAAAAATCACCCTCATTAAAAATTTTCCTTTCAAACCCTTTAACAATTCAATTGTTTGTTTGTGTGTGTGTGTGTTGTGTGTGTGTATGTGTGTGTGGAATACAAAAAATAAGAAAATGAAGCAAAGCATTCACTACAAACTGCCGATTGTAAACGAAACTTCAGTAAAAATAGTAAAAATGTACTTTTGTGAACAGACATCAGGATGACATCTTTTCATTATGTTGATTGTTTGAAAATCAAAATGAATTTTTTCACTTTTTGTGATGTTATTGAATGATCGTTTATCTTTCGTGCTTGTATAAACATGCCGGACTCATCATTCTAAGCGACGACTGTTTGTTTAGAGGCTTTGAAACAACATTGGCGAAAACAATTAGTAGCTCTTGTACACACAGACACACACACACCACATCATACACACCACATCACACACACCACATCACACACACACACACAAACATACACACAAACACAGATATACATTATATATATACATATATATATATATATATATATATATATATATATATATATATACATATATATATACATATATATATATATGTACGGTTGAAGATTACACCCCATTTTGCAGTTAGAAGTTTTTTAAATAAAATTTCAACAACACGAAGCTGTTTTGTTTCAACTTTATTAAACTGTGAAGTTTGGCTGACGGCCGTTTCGGCTAATGCCATCGTCGGAGCTTAGATTGTAAAACCAAGAAATAGAAAATAGAATACTAGATATTAAAATGAATAAATAAATGAATAACAACCTATATTTTAAAATTAACTCATTATGTTGTTGAAAATAAAATAAACGAATAAATTAAAAGAAAAATTATGAATAAAATTCACAGTTTAATAAAGTGAAACAAA